CCTGTAGTCCAGCTACTCGGGAGGCTGAGGCAGGAGATCGCTTGAGCCCAGGAGTTTGAGGTTGCTGTGAGCTAGGCTGACGCCACGGCACTCACTCTAGCCTGGGCAACAAAGTGAGACTCTAGCCTCCCAGAGTGCTAGGATTACAGGCGTGAGCCACTGCGCCCGGCCAGCTTCATTTGTTTTTATTTTAGAGTTTGCTTTTCTTTCTGGTTTAAATTTTTGAATATGTAAGTCATTATATGTACAAAAATACATGAACTTACCCAAGGAAATCTTTCTATTCATCCTAGCCCTTCCATCATGTAGATGACTATTTTATTAATTTCTGATTTATTCTTGTTGTTTCTTTTGCAAAAATAAGCAAATTCATGTGCGTATTCTTCCCCTTTTTACTTTTGGGCTCAAGTAATCCTCTTGTCTCAACTTCCTAAATAGCTGGGACTACAGGCATGCTACCACCATGCCTAGCTAGTTTTTAAAATTTTTTTTTTTTTTTTTGAGACAGAGTCTGGCTTTGTTGTCCAGGCTAGAGTGAGTGCCATGGCGTCAGCCTAGCTCACAGCAACCTCAAACTCCTGGGCTCAAGTGATCCTTCTGCCTCAGCCTCCCGGGTAGCTGGGACTACAGGCATGCGCCACCATGCCCGGCTAATTTTTTCTATATATATCAGTTGGCCAATTAATTTCTTTCTATTTATAGTAGAGGCGGGGTCTCGCTCTTTCTCAGGCTGGTTTTGAACTCCTGACCTCGAGCAATCCGCCCGCCTCGGCCTCCCAAGAGCTAGGATTACAGGCGTGAGCCACCGAGCCCGGCCTTAAAATTTTTTATAGTGTCAGGATCTCATGTTGCCTAGCCTGATCCTGAACTGGCCTCAAGTGATCCTCCTGTCTCAGCCTCCCAAAGTGCTGGGATTACAGGTGTGAGCCGCAACACCTGGCTCACCTTTCTTCTTGTATAACGGGTAGCATACTATTTATACTCTTCTGTACTTTGCTTTTTTACTTAGTATATCCTGGAAATCATTCCATAGCAGTTCTCAGAGCTCATCCTCATTCTTTTTTACATGTATATAATACTCCATTGTATCATGTACCTGGTATATGCAAATAGTTGCATTTAGGTTGCTTTCATCATTGTGCTATTGCAAATAGTGTCGAGTTGAATAACGTGTGTTATTTCTTATTTGTGGGTAAATAGCTAGAAGTAAGACTGTTGGATCAAAAGGAAATTTTTTAAAAATTCTATCTCCCCCTCCCCTTTTTTTAATACAAAGGGTAATATACAGACTGTTCTACATCTTGCTTTTTTCAACTACTAGTGATCGTGGAGATTTTCTATATTAGTACATACAGAGCCTCTTCCTCTTTTCAGCAGCTGGAGAGCATTTTTAAAAATAGCTGTGGAGCAGTCCATTGTATGACTGTACCATTTACTTAATCAGTCCCCTATTCATAGACATGTAGATTGTTTCCAATCCTTTGTTATTACAAATAGTGCTACAGGCCAGGCATGGTGGCTCACGCCTGTAATCCTAGCACTCTGGGAGGCCAAGGTGAGAGAATCACTCAAGGTCAGGATTCAAAACCAGCCTGAGCAAGAGCGAGACCCTGTCTCTACTATAAATAGAAAGAAATTAATTGGCCAATTAATATATATAGAAAAAGTTAGCCGAGCATGGTGGCGCATGCCTGTAGTCCCAGCTACTCTGGAGGCTGAGACAGCAGGATTGCTTTAGCCCAGGAGTTTGAGGTTGCTGTGAGCTAGGGTGATGCCACACCACTCACTCTAGCCTGGGCAACAAAGTGAGACTCTGTCTCAAAAAAAACCCAAAAAACAAATAGTGCTACAATTAATGTACCTCTACACGAGTATCATTTCATGAATATCTCTATTATGCCTTTTTCCCTTGTGCTAGATTTTACTAGATTTTTATATCTGTATTTGATCCCATATCACAATAGGGCCACAAAAGATTGTAATTGTCCAAACTTTTAATTGGATCCAGAGGAATCCAATTAAACTGGAATGATAGGAGAAAAAAAAATTTTAAAGCAAACTTTTCATTGAAGTGTAACACACAAGAAAGTGCACAAATTTTAACAATATGCTTGAGGAATTTTCACAAAGCCCACATATCTGTGTAAGCAGCACCCCAGGCTGGTCTTGTGCTCCAGTCACTGCCCCCTCAAGGGTGATACTATCTTGACTTCTAACACCAGCTATTAGTTTTGCCTGTTTTAAAACTCCAGGGAAATCCCTGCCCACCTTTCAAATGCTGCGCTGCCTCCGCGCTTGGTTGTGGCCCATTTTCTGTTGTGATTCTACGTGTGTCCGCCACAGTTGCCGTTTTATAAAGCGACTGCTTGTTGGCTTCCGTGGCCGTAACTTGCCAACGATGATTCAAGGTCCATGTCTGCCTCCCTGGGGCGCCCGCGAGCGAGGCCCGCGAGCGAGGCGCGTCCACTCCGCGGGAGGCGGGCGGGGGTCCCGCGCAGGCCTCCCCCCACCCCCGCCGCCTCCAGGCCCCTCAGACTTGCCTCCTTAGGGTCTGGACACCTGCCCACCGCGCCACCTGCTGCTCCCCGTTGCTTTGCCCTCTGCCCAGAGGCCGCCCAGCGGGGACTCCTGGGTGCCCGTGCCTTCACTGGCGCTCACTTTTAACTGCCCCGCTCCTCCAGACCAGGCGGATCACTTCGCACAGACCGCGCGCGTCTTCTGCATGCTTCCCCGCAGAGGTGGTTAGCTGTCCCGTGGGAGGGCAGGGACGCGGCTGTCTGGCGCATGCTCTCTCTCAGCGCCCGCTCCTGACGAGTCGAGTCCTAGTAAGCGAGCAAACGACTGAGCGCAAAAGGCAAGAGGGAAGGGGCTCAGCCTGTCTCCACAGTCAAGGAACAGAATTTCCTTTTGTCCCTCGGGCCTTCTCTGTCACTTGGCTTTCCCTGCATGAGGTCCCCTCCCAGGTTTCTTTCCTACCCTTGAATGGGGTTTTCTGAGGATGTACTTTGTGTGTTGGGGCAAAGGGCGAGAGTGGTGGGAAGAATGTAGCTGGTGGAAGGTGCCTCTGGGAGGGGGAGCTCCCTCCACTGGGCAGTCGCCCAGGGAGTGCGAGCCCCGTCCTGCCCCAGGGAGTACCGCAGGCGCCCAGCCTCCCAGCCTGCGGAGAGAGGGCCTGGGTTGGGCGGGGCCCATCCTCATCCTTCTCTGGCTTTTCTTTCCTCCCAGGTCAGGACAAAGAGGTGTGAGCAGGCGCTGGGCCAGCTAGTGCCGCCATGGCAGGTAAGGGAAAGGGCGGGCCATGTGGGCAGGACACAAAAGTGAGCATAGGGTGTACCTCCCCTAGTCTTTGGAGGGCACCTTCTTTCTGACCCATTGTCCCAAGGATTACCCCTTCTCAGGCCTGTCTGTCTGAGAACCTCAACATGACCCTGTCTAGCCCTGTCAGATCCTCCAACCCTGGGGACCAAAGATTGAGCATCTTGATGTCCTTGTCTTACCATCCGACTGATTGGCAGCATGGGTGGCTCTGCCCCTTCCATTCCGTCACCATTGTTTTCTAATACACTGAGACCTCTTCTGTCCAGTTTCTAAAGCTAAGACATACAGACTGCCACAGCTGGACTTTGGGGACCATCTAGCTCAGCCCCCACCCCCTGGATAAACTGAGGTCTGGAGAGGGGTGATGACTTGCCCAAGAGCATGAGTGTTGGCATGGAGCCTGGAACCCACGTCTCTAGACTCTCACCCATCCACTTCTTCTGCTGAGGAGGGTGCCTCACCCTGAGGGACAGTATTCATTGCTTATTACTCTTCTGAGTGACACTGTCTCAGGGGCTTTGGTTACTTGGGGATTGTCATGGCAGACCTAGGGGAATAGGGATGGCTGGTGGGGATAGCAAAGTGGCCAGTGGCCACAGGGGCGGAGGAGGCAGTCCTGGCAGAGTAAGGATGGGCATATTGGATTGGCGGGGAAGGGGCCGTTCAGGTGATGCCATGCGATGTGCCTCACCCACAGAGAAAGTGAACAACTTCCCACCACTGCCCAAGTTCATCCCGTTGAAGCCATGTTTCTACCAAGACTTCGAGGCAGATATCCCTCCCCAGCATCTCACCATGACGAAGCGCCTCTACTACCTCTGGATGTGTGAGTGCTGTGGGGACGGGGGTGGCCAGGGCAGGTGGAGGAGGGAGGAAAACTGGTGGGTGCTGGGTAGCAGCGTGGGTGCCACAGGCCGAGCTGTCCTTCTGCCCCACTATAATGTCTGCATGGACCAGTAAGCCTTTGCCCGCTAGGCTCCCAGCAGGCTCTTCCCCTGGGCCAACTCCCCAGCTGGGCCTCAGTTTCCCTTGGCCCCACCATCTAGGCCTCTCCTTCCTTCCCTTCCCCTTCATCTCCCATTCACAGAGCACCTGGATGGGGCCCTCTTTGCAGTGTGATTCCTGTTTTCTCCTTTTCCCCTTCCCACTGGGGCAGTTCTCCAGGGAACCTCTGATAACTGTTAGGACCTCAGGATTCTTGACTTGGAAAGGAGTCTTTCCCTGAAAACCTCATTTTTTTTGCTTTCTCTGGAAGATTGCTCAAAGAGAAGAGCATTCACCTGGGAGTAGGGTGCTATGAGATTGAGTTTGTCTGGTCACTACTTCCAGAGCAGCAGGTTCCTCATCGGCAGGAAGATAGTATTGGCTGAGCGATTGCTATGGTTCCATGCAGCTCTGTGTCATGTGGCCTGTACTTCTAAGAGTCTAGTGTTCTTGACTTCTAGTGTTCTAAAGTTTTGACATTGAGAGTTTAAAGCCCCTCTTTTCAGTAGTCTGTGGCAGGTTGGTGGGAAAGGTGTCATCTTAGGGGCATGGGACTTGGCTACGCCAAGGCTGGCCAGAAGATATCTCTTTGGCATATGAAAATAGGGTGGGCTGGCTGTCCGGTGCTGGGTACAAGCCCCAGGAACCTGAGACACTGGCAATGTGACCTCAGTTGGGGTCTGCCATGTGTGATGTTGCTTTGAGTCAGTTTTGCACGTAGCTGCTTATCTGGGCAGATGGTTGTGTGCTCCAGGAAGGCGGTAAAGCATGCTGTCTTTGCAGCAGGTGCTTCATGGCATGATAAGAAGAGGATGGGAGAAGACAGACTCAATTTCGAGTAGTCCTGGCTTGGCCTTTGGGTGAGGGGATCTCTCACCATTTAACCTGAGAGAGGGGGGAATAGGGTGCTAGGTAGTAGGGGATAGGGTGTAGGTAGGTCTGTAGATGTTGGGAAGAAAATGAGGAGGCTACTTTTGATGGCTTCCATTTTTATTTATTTATTTGAGATGGAGTCTCACTCTGTTGCCCAGGCTAGAGTGCCATGGCATCAGCCTAGCTCACAGCAACCTCAATCTCCTGGGCTCAAGCGATCCTCCTGCCTTAGCCTCCTGACTAGCTGGGAATACAGGCATACACCACCACACCCAGCTAAATTTTTCTATTTTTAGTTGCCTGGCTAATTATTTTTTCTATTTTTTTAGTAGAGATGGGGTCTTGCTCTTGCTGGTCTCAAGCTCCTGAGCTCAAGCGATCCTCCTGCCTGGGCCTCCCAGAGTGCTAAGATTACAGGCGTGAGCCACCATGCCCAGCTTGGCTTCTATTTTTTTCCATCAAATATGTTGTAGGAGTGGGGGTCGGAGCTTTGAGGAGGGTGGGCTCAGAATGAGAACATGTTTGTGGATGGAGAGTGAGGACATTCTCCAAAGAGACCTGGCCCCTAAGATTTCTGGGCCATGCACAGGGCCTATTTGAGGTTGGTGGCCTTGACTTTATAGTCCTGCCAGGCTTTCTTGTATCCCTTTTTTCTTAGTGACATTCAGCTCATGTACAGATGGAGTTATGTTCATATAGGGTGAGTATGACTGGAAGACAGGGCCGGGGAGGGAAGAAGAAAATGAGTGTAATTAGTTATGGGATCTAAGCTGGACAAAGAGAGAAGTGAAGACACAGAGTGGCCGAGTCAGTGGGTGTCTGTTAAAGAGAGGTAGCCGAATAATTTCAGCAAGGTCACGAGAGCAAGGGAGTTGGAGAGAGGTGGGACTGAGGAGAGAAATGTTAGCCAGTATAATGATGGGTTAATGCCTTTTTTATGTAAAGAGCAAGTAAAAACAGTAAGAACACCAAGGCTCCAAGAAATGTTGGGGCAGTGAACAGGAATGGAGGAAATATAGCTGAAACACACAAGAAGAAATGCCCACCCTCACTATGAGGGGCCCTGAGATAGGTGTACCTGCACAGGTGACAGGGTTGCCAGGCCAGGCCAGACTTGGGGAGCACTCCCCTTGACACTGGGCTCTGGGAGCTCTGCTCCTGGGAAGATCTCATCCAGAAGCTGGATTTAAGGTCTATAAATACCTCCCTAAGTCCTTACTAGGTGCCCACTGGGTGCTTTACTCCCAGGGAAATGTATATAATCCTTGAGATGCTTAGGGGCTCTGTTCAGAAGACAGAGGATGGATGCTGGCTGTTTGAGGCCAAGACCGAACCCTCCTTCTTCTGTTTATTTTGTGGACTCAGCGGTCTTTGTGGACTCAGCATAGTGTTCAAGGAAGGGGGTGCCCTGATATGTATACCAGCACCAGTTTTCTTATCTGTAAAATGAGGAGTCTTTGAGGTCCCTGCTGGCGGTGTCTCAGTGATACTGTGATTTCTAGATGCAGCTAGATGATGTGGGGACAGAGAAGGGGGAGCCTGGGTCCCACTCTTGGGAAGCTTCTAATGTTGTTGATGGGCTGGGATCTGTATTTGGGAAACCATGGAGCAGCCCATGAGAGCAACCCTCTGTAGAAGGTCAGAGAGATAGGCCGGGCGCGGTGGCTCATGCCTGTAACCCTAGCACTCTGGGAGGCCGAGGTGGGAGGATCACTTAAGGTCAAGAGTTTGAAACCAACCTGAGCAAGAGCGAGACCCCGTCTCTACTAAAAATAGAAAGAAATTAATTGGACAACTAAAAATATATAGAAAAAATATTAGCCAGGCATGGTGGAGTGTGCTTGTAGCCCCAGCTACTTGGGAGGCTGAGGCAGGAGGATCGATTGAGCCCAGGAGTTTGAGGTTACTGTGAGCTAGGCTGATGCCACGGCACTCTAGCATGGGCAACAAAGTGAGACTCTGTCTCAAAAAAAAGGTCAGAGAATGGGAGATGAAAGGTGAAAGGTTGCAGCATTGGAGGAAGGCTTCTTGGAGCAGATGACATGTTAGTTGTCTAAGAAATAGATTAAATAAAAACAGATCTCAGACACCGATGCCTGCCCCATTTAAGTGCAGGACAGATGGTACAGTGGCTTGAAGAGATGTTTCTTTCTTTTTTTAAAATACAGACAATCTTGTTATGTTGCCCAGGCTGGAGTGCAGTGGCTATACGCAGGGACAACCATAGCGCACTGTGCCTCAAACTGCTGGCCTCAAGTGACCCTCCTGCCTCAGCCTTCCAGAGCACTGGGATTATAGGGATGAGCCACCATGCTCCTTACAAGCTGCCTTATAAGCAGAAGAGCATTTCTACCACCTTGAGGCTTTAATCCTTTAAAGGGGGCTTGCTGGGCAGAAACTCTGCTCCCTGAAGACCCTTTGCTCTCCGTATTTCTCAGATCCTTAGGAGGGTGTCTGGGGAGGCAGGTTGGTCAGAGCTCCCGGTTTTCTTTCTTACAACCTGTACTCCTTCTCCTGTGTGTGTCTTGTGTGTCTCTGTGTGTGCATTGATATGCACTGTGGGTCATCTGTATGGGTGTGAATCTATAAATGTGGCTTGCATTTGTATGTGTATATCCATGTTTGTTTGCATCTCTCTGTGCTTGTCTGATTGTGGATCTGTGTGTTGACCATGTCTGGGTGCCTGTGTGTCTCTGTACGGGCCTGGGTGTCTGTCTCTGTGTGCATGTGCTCCTGGGCCTGCAGTGAACAGCGTCACGCTGGCCGTGAACCTGGTGGGCTGCCTCGCGTGGCTGATCGGAGGCGGGGGAGCCACCAACTTTGGCCTCGCCTTTCTCTGGCTCATCCTCTTCACACCCTGCTCCTACGTCTGCTGGTTTCGGCCTATTTACAAAGCCTTCAAGTAAGTGGTGGAGCTGACTCCAGCTCCCAGCCCCATCTCTGCCCATCTCCCCTGTCTCTTCTCTACTCCTTTCCCACTTTCTTTTTGCCACCCCCCCCCAAACTCACTTTACTTTCCTTTGTTCACCTTGGTTCAGACTATCAGGTGGGGCTTGGGCTTTCTGGGGGCTCCAGGTTGAGGAGGGAGGGTAGGAGTCAGAGCCTTCCTCTTAGTTCCTTCCCTCCTCACGCTACCCTTGGGCGGGGGGCAACACAGAGCACAGGCCTATTTTTTTCTTCTTTTTTTTTAATTTCAGCATATTATGGGGGTACAAATGTTAAGGTTACGTATATTGCCCATAATTTTGTCTTCTGCCATCACCTTCCCTAGGAAACTACATGTTGAATTTTGCCTATGGGGCCACCTGTCTTGGTGGAACTGCCCATCCGTGTACCAGTGGGGCTAGCTGATTTGGTGATAAGGAGAACATTTATCCATGTGCCTGTAGATACACAGCCATCTGTGTATCACTAACACTATTCATGTGCCAATGCAGTCATCCAACTGTGTGCCTAAGAGACACCCAACCATGTATCAGTGTGGCTAGCTGTCTTGGCTAGCTGTCTTGGTGCCACTGGGTGTCTACCTAGTGCCAAATGGGGTTTTTGATCTTTGTGCCAATGGGACTGTTCATCCATGTACCAACAAGACTATCTGTCTTGGTGCCTGTAGAGTATCTATCTCAATGCTAATGGGACCTTGAATCTCTTTGGAATCAAGTCATCCATCTAAGTGCTATTAACTGCTATTTTGGTGCCAATAGGTTGTCCATTCTAGTGGCAATGGGATTCCATCTCTGAACCCATGGGGACATCCATCCATGTACCAGTGACACTAGCTGTCTTGGTGCCTATGTGGCTGTCCATCCCCTTGACAATGGGACTCTTTATTCCTGCTACAATGGAGCCATCTATTTATATGCCAATAGGGTCAGCCTCCCATGTACCAAAGGGTGGGCCATTCATGAGGAGATTCCTCCCTGTGTAATGTTGCACATATAGGCCTAACGTGGAACCTTGCAAAGATCTGTGGATAAACACTGGCCTATTCTGGCCTCTCCATTAGGGTTTTAAGGGTCTTCTATCTACTTTGCACTTACTTAAACTTGAAAGGGCTTGGGGACCTTGAAGGTAGGGAAACTCTGGCCCTCTGCTCAGGTGACAGGAGCCATCTCCTCTGCTGCAGGACCGACAGCTCCTTCAGCTTCATGGCATTCTTCTTCACCTTCATGGCCCAGATGGTCATCAGCATCATCCAGGCCGTGGGCATCCCAGGCTGGGGTGTCTGGTAAGAGGCAGGGGTCTGGCCTGGGGCTGGTAGGGGTGGCACCTTGAGCGTGTCCTGCGCTTACCTCTGTGTGCCACACTTCCTAGCCCGCGGGGCACTGGGTGGTTACTGGGGGAGAGAGAGGGTTCAGGAGAGTGTAGTGGCGCAGCCATAGCACCAGAGGGGAAAGAGAACCTGGCCGTGGTTTCTGGGGGGCTGAGGGGTGTCAAGCATTGTGGAAAACCCAGGAGAAGGAAATCTTGAGTCTGAGGGGCACGTCTGAGCCACGGGGCAGGGTCTTCCTGGGCCACTGACATGGGGTCAGTAAGATGGTCCCTCTGAATCCAGTGATATGATTCTTCCCTGTGGCAGTGAGGTAGTCCCTTGCTCCAGTGGGGTGGCCCCTGGGCCCCCCTCATCCCGCCCACAGCCCCACTGCTGGCCTCTTCCCACAGCGGCTGGATTGCCACCATCTCCTTCTTCGGAACAAACATTGGCTCAGCAGTTGTGATGCTCATTCCCACCGTCATGTTCACGGTTGTGGCCATCTTTTCCTTCATCGCCCTCAGCATGGTATGTGGTCCCCTCAAGGGTGAGAGGGTGGCTTTGGGAGCGGGCTGTGATATAAAACAACCCCACCCCCAAGAGGCTCCAGAGGTCTTTCTTCCAAGGGTCTCACTCTGGAATTGCCTGCCGGACTTTCCTACACAGGCATGGAAGGGGAGGGAGGACTATGTTTTTACAAATGCTCCTATCTACTTCCTGGGCTGCCTCTTTCCTTTGATTAACCCTTCTTCATGCTCCTCTTCCTACAGGTTCATAAATTTTACCGGGGCAGTGGGGGGAGTTTCAGCAAAGCTCAGGAGGAGTGGACCACGGGAGCATGGAAGAATCCGCATGTGCAGCAGGCAGCCCAGAATGCAGCCATGGGGGCGGCCCAGGGTGCCATGAGTCAGCCACAGACTCAGTATTCCGCCACCCCCAGCTACACATACTCCAATGAGATGTGAACCAGCCAAGCCTACCAGGAGGCAGGGCTGGGGCCACTGGGACAGGGGGCTCAAGCCACATCATCTGTTGTGGTGACCAAGCAGGGTTCCCCCTTCCCTTTTCTCCTTCTCCCCCACTTTGTATAAAGAATCAGAGTTATATATGTATATATGTATATGTATGCCCCCTGCTCCCCACCTTTTGGATTCTGCTCTTGGCACTCCAAGAGCTGTGGGCTGCACGTGGAGCTGTCCTGTGTGGCAGTAGCTGTCCGTGTCCCCTCGTGAAACAGTGTGCAGTGAAGGTCTCTTGTTGTGGTGCTAGATGTATGTTTAGAACTAAACCAGCCCTCCACCCTCACTTGTCCCTTCTTACCCTGGCCCAGGGACCCTTCATGGGGTAGGGGGAGGAATAGCAGAAAGCCCAGCCCCCACCAGGGTCATGAGCTGAGACTGTTACCACTTTTGGTCTTCCTGGGAAGCAACAGTATTTAGCACTCGTGGTAGTGGCAGGTGGAAGGGTGAGGACAGGCAGGGGACCTCCCCTTGCTCCTCCTGATCCATCCAGTTCTCCCCTCCCTCGGCCTCTGTCTCCCTCATCTCTTCCCTGCTGTCAGAGTCCCTGTGCTGTCTTCCCTTGCCCAGGGTATGTTTTTCTCTTTCCTATGTGGTTTTTGTTTTCCCTAAGGCTGAGTATCTCAGTTGTATCTGCTCCTGAGACTGAGCCCAGATTCCTAAATCTGTTCTGATTCCCAGATATAGGAAGCTGACAGGAGAGCTGAGCCTTAGCCCTGATGTGGGAGGGGAACACAGCTGGAGAGGCAGAGCCCACCTGGGTCCCTGACTCTCAGGGAGTGAAAAACGCAGGGTTGGTCTTGGCTCTGAGAGCTCGGCCTGCAGAGGCAGGCTCCTCTTTTCTCTCCCCCCTTCTCCTCTTCCTCCTCTCCCCAGAGGCCCCTGGTGCCCCTCTGCCCATGGCCCTCTGCCTCCTCCTCATACCCAGCTGCTGTGACTTAATTCTCCTACCCCGACCCCACTATGTGCCAGGTGGCTTCTGCTCTTGTGGATGGCACATTCCACTGCCTTCCCTGAGGAGCTGGGTCGTGTCCGGCAGTTGTCAGGTGTAAAGGCGCAGCTGGAGCAGAGGGCATTTCAGTAATTATTGGTCCCCACCCCACTGGGGTGTCTAGGTGTCTCTGAGTGATCACTGGATTCCTGGGAGCAGTAGCTGTTCTGTTTGGGTCTGGTAGGAGGGCCAGGGCTTGGAGGGCTAGGCCTGGAGGGAAGGTCAGAGGAGAAAGCAGGTGGGGCCCAGTGGGAGGGGAGCACGCCTCCCCCACCCTGGCTTGTTCTTGGTCAGAGGGTACTTCTGGGCACTTGAACTCAGGGCCCAGGAAAAAGCACAGGCCCAGTCCTCGCTGTAAGCACAATGGCCTAAATAGGATTTCAGGTTAGGCAGGGTAGGAGGGGAGGCTCTCTGGCTTTAGTTTAGGTTTTTTTTTCCTAAATCAAGAAAACTTGTTCCCCTCTGCCTACAGACCTTGGTTCTTGGCCCTTCCTCACCCTGTCAGAACCTCCTTGCCTTTTCAGGAAAGTGATTTCAAGTTCATGGGGCTGTTCTGTTCCAAGCAGTGTGAGAACATTGCTGGTAGAGGCCCCAGCTCTGTCTGAGACCTAGAGTGGAGTGGGTTCCCAAGGAGCAGAACTGCCCATTTCTCACTTTCCCTTCTCCCAGCAGAAGCCTACCTGGGCTATTTGGACAAAAAAACCAAACCCCACTTGGCTACTCTGGGCTGACTCCAGCTTGGAACCCAACACCTGGGCTTCTAGGCCACCCTGAGCTTTGAACTCAAGGTACTTCGATGCCCTATAAGGGGAGCCAGGGGCTTCTGTTTCCCAATGGTCCCTTAGGCTTGGACCACAGAGTATAATTGCTTCTCTGCTCTCCCATTTTCTTTCAGGAAAGCAGTTGTCACAGCCCCTGGCACCTGCAAAGAGACCCTAGGTCTAGGCTTTTCCTCCCCTTTCCTCTCCCCTACCCCAGACCTCTGGCTCCCTTTTTAGTCTCTCTGATAGCTCCAGAGAGGCTGTGGTCCAGCTGCCAACTTAGCATCCATCACCAGTTGGGTATCATCTTCAATTGATTTCCTGTGCTACCTGCCTCTCTTTCCTGGCCCAGACCAATATGCTCACACCCTGACTCTACCCTCAGGAAAGCCCGTTACCCATGTGTGGCCCAGGTTTGTTCAGGCCCTGAGATACTGCATCTCCAGGCAACTATGCACTTCCCTGGGAAAGGAACTAGTGTGAGAAGTGGGGACTGAGCACAGATTCATCTCTGCAGGATGGTCTGGCGTGGGAGTGGGGTAGAGGAGGGCCCGGGCCAGTTCTGGGGATTTTCAGGTCTGCGGCCTGCCAGTGACCTGCTTTGGCAGTCTCCGGGTACCCACTGCTCCTCTTTGTTTCTGGGAGATGGATCATCCCCCAGGTGGCAGTTGACCTGCCTGAGCCAATGTGTATGTTTGTGGTAATTGAGTGAACCATAATAAAGGGAACATTTGGCCCTGCGTGTTCTGTGTCATGTGTCTTCATGTAGACCTGCATGGAGCTCCATGGGTGGGGGCATGAAGGTAGAGGGGTTGGATGAGTCTGTGGCCTGTCATTCCCTGGGGCCAAAAGCCATGCCACTAACTGGGTGGCTCTTTCTCTGAGGCAGTCTAGAGTAGGCATTGAGATTGCCACCTGAGGCCTCCTGCCTTAGGAGGAGAAAGTTCCAAGTTCCCTGAGGAGGATGTAGGAGTAGTGGGATCAGTGGGGAGGGATGGTTTGGGATGGTTCCTTGTGGCAAGGGCAAGGGTAGAGCAAGGAGGCCCCCTCTCAGCTCTGGCCATGAGAGACCTGCCGCAGGTAGAGCTGCTTCAATGGACACAAAGTTTCCTGGGGGCCGGTGAATACCAGAGAATGGAGAAGGCTGGGCTTGTGCCCCGCGTGCAGTCTCCCACCGCCTTCCTTTTGCCAGTGCTGTGTCCTCCACTTGTAATGCTGTTCCTGTCTTCTGTCTAAACCCCTGTTCACCACAAGATTCACTCAGGTGACTTCTTTGCAAGGGCATTCCTGCCCGGAGTTGTTTAGTCCCCTGTGCTTCCTCAGGCAGACCTTATCCTGTGACTTTTTTTTTTTTTTTTTTTTTTTTTTGAGACAGAGTCTCGCTTGTTGCCCAGGCTAGAGTGAGTGCCGTGGCGTCAGCCTAGCTCACAGCAACCTCAAACTCCTGGGCTCAAGTAATCCTCCTGCCTCAGCCTCCCAAGTAGCTGGGACTACAGGCATGTGCCACCATGCCCGGCTAATTTTTATATATATATATAAGTTGGCCAATTAATTTCTTTCTATTTATAGTAGAGACGGGGTCTCGCTCTTGCTCAGGCTTATCCTGTGACTTTCTGTGTCCCAGCTTGTCTCAAGACCAGGGATGGTCTGATTTATCTCTGTAGCCTGTGCATCTAAAACAGAAGAGGCAAATACTCAGTATTAAGTCCCCCTAGCGATGAGCAGTATGTGTGTTGGGGATAAGGGTGAGGAGGTCAGATAGGCCAGGCCCTGCTAGCGAGAATCCCAGAAATACAATTTTTCTCCGGGAAACACACCCCCTCCCCGCCCTCCAGTGGACTACAGCTCTCAGAAGGCAGAGACATGGACTACAACTCCCAGAAGGCCACGCGACCATGTAGCCTGCCAGTTCTCTTGAGGCTGCGCGCCAGTCAGATTCAGTGGGAGGGGCGGCCGAAATACCGCGATATTTGGGGGGCAGCCCGGAGACACGCCTGGCGCTGGTGAGCAGCTGAGGCGGGCTGGGGTGCTCGGTACTCGCAGCCGGGCGGCTGGGGAGGCTGGAGGATCTATGGCTGCGAGCGTGGGTCCACGGCAGTGTCTGTGTGTGTCCTGGCTTTTCCATCTGTGCCCCGCGAAGCTCTGCTTGCAGGTGTGTGTGTGTGTGTGTGTGTGTGTGTGTGTGTGTAGGGGGCTGTGCGGTCTGTGGGACCTCACTTTCCTATCTGTGCAGGTGAAGCCGCCAGGAGCAGTAGGGACTCCTGAGCTGTGCCGGTCCGTCCGACTTTGTGCTGCTCTGCGATTATTTGTCCAGTGCCATATGATCTAGTTTAAAAGGTGGCCGTCAGCTCCCCACACTTGCCGCTTACCGTCCCCCTCAACCCCACCAGAAATCATGAACCTGCTTCCAAAAGGGATTAGGTAGGGGCTGCTCAAAGTACAAACTATTTCAAAAGTTGGTAAAATAGATAAAGGAAAGCCATAGGATATTGGAATTATCCCTAGGCCCGCCTAAAAGTGCTGCATGACATTCAAAAATTAGAGTGAGGCCAAATTTTGTCAGAAAAGAACTTCCTGCTGCCTTTGCAGTATTTGGAGGCAGGTGCTAGATAATGGACAGGAGAGAGTCTCAAGGTGGGGAAGTTGTGAGTGTCTTGGAGTGGGGGTTTTCTACATCGCTCCTAGTGTCTGGGAGGTAATGATACTCAGCCACTACCTCTCTAGTAGCCTGTGTGTGTGCGCTTGCTTGCTTGCTTATTTGTATAATATATTGTCCCTCGGTATCCATGGGAGATTGGTTTCAGTATCCCCCACAGATATCACAATCTACAGATGTCCAAGTCCCTTATATTAATATTAAATATCAAATGGCATAGTATTTGCATATACCCTAAGCACATCCTCCAGTATGCTTTATTTTTTATTTTATTTTTTGAGACAGAGTCTCACTCTGTTGCCTGGGCTAGAGTGCTATGGCGTCAGCCTAGCTCACAGCAACCTCAAAATCCTGGGCTCAAGCAATCCTCCTGCCTCAGCCTCCCGAGTAGCTGGGACTATAGGCGCACCACCGTGCCTGGCTAATCTTTTCTATTTTTTAGTTGTTTGGCTAATTTCTTTCTATTTGTAGTAGAGAAGGAGTCTCGCTCTTGCTCAGGCTGGTCTTGAACTCCTGAGCTCAAGCAGTCCTCCCGCCTTGGCCTCCCAAAGTACTAGGATTACAAGCGTGAGCCACCATGCTCAGCCTCCACTATGCTTTAAATCATCTCTAGATTACTTACAATGCCCAATACAATGTAAATGCTATATAAATACTTATTCTGTATTGTTTTATTGTATTGTTTATTTGTATTTTTATTGTTTTTTTAACTTTAATTTTTTGTTTTCCACATATTTTCAATCCATGGATGCTGAAACTGTGGGTATGAAGGGCTGACTATATCTCCCTGACATGTGGCCCTGAGGGGGAAGCATAATTAGGATTTCAGGAACAGCAGAGTCAAGCGTGTCTGCCTCTGGTCTAACAGAAGGGTAGTAGTCTGTTAGGAGAAGGCCAAGGCCTTGAGCTCTCCTCGAAGGGTTTCTAGCTTCTCCTAGGATCAAGGGAAGGGGTGCCTGTGTCATGGGACTCCTTTTCATTTGTCTTGGGTTTTGGTGCAGGTGACACTTTGGGGAGTTACAAGTGGTTCATTATTTCTGTGGTGGAGAGTAGAGTGTGTTGACTGGTGAGAGAGATGGGGCCAGAGCTGAAACCTGGGCCATTGGAGAGGGGCTTTGATGTTAGGCTAAAGGATTCAGGCTCCAGGCCGGGCGTGGTGGCTCATGCCTATAATCCTAGCACTCTGGGAGGTTGAGGCGGGTGGATTGCTCGAGGTCAGGAGTTCGAAATCGTGAGACCCCCGTCTCTACTGTAAAATAGAAAGAAATTAATTGGCCAACTAATATATATAGAAAAAATTAGCCGGGCATGGTGGCACATGCCGGTAGTCCTGGCTACTCAGGAGGCTGAGGCAGAAGGATCACCTGAGCCCAGGAGTTTGAGGTTGCTGTGAGCTAGGCTGACTCCATGGCACTCACTCTAGCCTGAGCAACAAAGCGAGACTCTGTCTGAAAAAAAAAAAAAAAAAAAGGATTCAGGCTCCAAATGGATCCTGAATCCCTGCCTACCCCCACCCACTTCCCTGGTTGGTTCTGCTTTGTTGTAGGTAACAGGCTCCAGTCTCTCATCTTTGCTATGTTAGACTGAGCTTATGCCTTGTTGGGTCTTACCTTCCTTGCTCCCTTCTTTAGCCTTGGTTCTATCCTGTCCCTACCATTGCCCATTTTGTGACTGGCAGGTATTCCTGAAACCTCTACTCTGCTTTGAATTAAACTTATCAGAGGAGACTTAGATTTCACAAGCACAGGCTCTTTGCTCTGTCTGGCCTTGTCTTTCTAAAGGACAGAGAAGCTGCCATTTTTATAGCTGTTACTTACCTGCATGGCTGGAGCCCTGGTATCCTGAGGCCTTCAGCCCTGTCACCTGTGTGCCTGCTCTCTGCTTCTCAAGAGTTCCTATGAGTCCAGCAGAACCCAGGCAGGTGAGGTACTGTCTATGGCTACACTTGCTGTGAAAATAGAGTATCAGACTTGTTGGTTTGGAATTTGATACTCTTTGAGAGAAAACAAAGGATGCCTGTCATTTATCACCCTCCTTGGGATTCTCAGGTTGATTGATTTGACCTTGCCTCCAAATGTTGGTTAAATGATCCAGTTTCACTTCCTCAAGTCTCTCTCCCCCTCTCTCACTCTCTCACTCTCCCCCTCTCTCCCTCTCTCCCTCTCTCCCTCTCTCCCTCTCTCCCACTCTCCCTCTCCCCCTCTCCCCCTTTCCCCCTTCCTCCCTCCCTTCCCCCTCCACACACACATTCTCGTACATAGATGCCCACCCTCTTTTCTAGAAAGATAGGTAGGCTTTGGTCCCAAGCAAAGTTTGCTCAGCAGACTAAGTAGTATATCTTGGGCTGTACTACCTGCTGTAGGGAAGCAGTGTAAGTCACCAGTGTGAAGTCAACCTTGCCCCAAGCGTGGTTGATTTCTATAACCTGCTCCCTAGGAATGAGAGCAGCTTGATAGGGAAGAGGTTCAGGGCTGCAGAGATGAAATTCAGCTTTTGGTTTTGCGGGAATCTCTGTCTTAGCATTAGTTGGTTGGGGTGGATAGGGTCAGGGTCAGAGTTTGAGATCTGGCAGATAGGTCTCCATAGAGAACCGGGAATGTGCCTCCATTACCTACTGATGACATACTCTGGAAAGAAGCTGGCTGGAAGGCCCTCTATACCTTGTCAGTTGCAAACACAGCTCCCTAGTCCCTGGGATAGACTCAATTCTCCAACTCTGGCCAAGCATGGCTCTGGCTGGGGCCCTGAAGTAGAACAGAGACCGAGATTGCTGCTAAATGGAACTTTGGGGGATTTTGGCTTTAGGAAACCAGCCTGTGTTTAACTGCTATTGAGAAGAGTCTGGCCTCTGGGAGAAGTGGGGTAATGGAGCCATACGTGACCTTCAGCTCACATGGGTATGTGCTTAAGTGCTGAAGTCAAATCCTGGGCAGAGAGGCCCCAGGGAGTCAAGGGGCCTGTGAGTGAAGAGGAGGCCCCTGTGGGTGCCCAGCCATGCATATAGCCATTTGACACCTCACCGGCACTTCTCCCTTGGGGTCTGCCTGGGTTTCCCTCTCCCTGCTGATCCTGTCCTTTTTGAGTGCATTTTCTAGGACCTCTGTCTTGTCCAGGGAGACCCTTACCATTGTCTTTCATGCATTGGCTCAGAAGGTTTCTGCTGGAAGGAGCTTCAGAGATCACCTGGTCCTACCTCTGCATTTTTCAGAGATAGGTCCAACGAGAGAATGACCCTGGACCAAGGTCATATACCAGGTCAGGAGCACAAACCATGGACAGGGTCCAGGGCTTGTGATTCACAGGCCAGGCTTCTATCCCCTGCCTCGGGTACGATTTATTATTCATTCAGCAGATGTTCAGGACTGCCTGACAGTGGACTGCCAGGACCGGACAGGACCACCTGACCAGTTAGACCTGGTCACACATTTAGGGAGCTTGCTGGTGGGGGGAGAGGCAAGGAAACCTATGTACAAATTGAGCCAGTGATCACCAAAAAACCCAGAGAAGAACCTATCTCAATAATTTTAGGTGTGACTCCTGTCTCCTCAAACTCATCTGCAGATTCTTCCAAGGCAGCGGCCGTGTCTTCCTCGATTCCTTCACCCAGTGCTCGCTGTGACGGGTCCTCAGTGACCGTTGCTGATGATGCGCGTTTTGCTGGCCCAGCTGGCCCGGCATAGGTTTTGGTGTGTCCACCAGCCATATTGTCATGAGCATGCACTTCTAGCAACATCTGACTGCCAGAGGAAGAAACCAGCCAGCTGTCCTCTTGGGCAGCCTACATCCCCTTTATGCTTCTCTCTCCCTGGGCTTTGATTTTCAGGGTGATGCCCAGCCTTATCTACAGAGACAGGGACAGAGGCAAATCTCAGCCTAGGGTTCCACTCACAAGCATCTTTGGAAACCCATCTTCTTCTGCCACTTCCTTTGGTCAGTCAGCTTGCTGCAGAGCTCTTCTTGCCCCTCAGGTCTCTCCACCAGTAGGGCCCCCTCCACACTATCGCCAGCACCAGCACTGTCTTTCTGAAACCAAAACTTCTCCCCAACCGTCCCGCCCTTGACATTCTGGCCTCCACCTGATTTCTAGCTTTACCTCCTGGCCTTTGCCCACCCCAAGTCACCCTTGGTGCCAGGCTACTCCCTGCCTCCCGGACCACCAGCCTTCCTCGGACACTTCCCCTTTGCAGGATTCTCCTTCCTGCCAGGTTATTTCTTCCTTCTCTGGAAAACTTACTTGTCCTTCAGGACTCAACCTGAATGTCATCTTTGCTGTGACAGTGTCACTTCCTGAGAGTCACTCTGGGCCACCACAGCACCCCTGGTGCAGCCCTTCCTCACAGCACTTGCCACATTGCATTGTGACTGGCCCACAAGTGGGGAGGGTGTCTGACTTTCTCATCAAACTGTGTCTCCCTGATGCTGGGACTGTGGACCCCTCAGCAACCACAGCATCTGGCCTGGGGTAACACGTGATGCTCAGTACATCCTGGTCCAATGTGCGAATGAAGACGGCGCCCCTTGTTCTGCTTTTAGATCCTAAATCCTGACTGAGCTTTGTGGAGCCTAGGCCGGCAGGTTCCCAGAAATCAAAGCCACCAGACCCCACATGGAACCACAGGCCTCATGTTCAGCTGCCGCACCCTTGACGGAGAGAAAATTCCATGTTCTCGTGGGTGTCACTGGGAGTGTTGCAGCACTGAAGTTGCCTCTTCTGGTGTCACGGCTTTTGGAAATTCCTGGGGTGAGTATCCTTACTGGACTGTGGCAGCCTCTAGCACGAGAGAGCCACTGCTCCCCGAGATCAGCCCGTTTCTCTGCAGTGGGGTTTTCTTTTTCTTGTCGTGTTTGTGGAGGTCCTCTGTGTGTGTTGGTCTGTGGCGGGTACAGGGACAGAGACCGGTGCACAGTATTACCAAGAGCCAGATTAGGTAGCGTGGACAGAGTGTGGGGGGAGACTGGGAAAGGCTGTGTTGGTGAGTAGAGGGTTCGGGCTCCCATATGGTGACCCTGAGGTTCCAAGAGGTCCCGTGTGGGCGCAGGGCTGGCTGGAGAAATGCTGCAAGTTCTCAGTCCCCTTTGCTGCCTTGGGCCCCATCCCTACTTCACTCCATCTTGAACACTGGCTCTGTCCTTGTTAGGTCCTACGGCTGTCTTGTCAGTCAGATGTTCTGCAGCCTCAGGGCTTCCCTGGGGCCCACAGCTCTTGTTTCAAATTTTGCTCCTTCAAGTGTTCAGAGATGCCCTAAGAGCCATCACTGTGCACTGGGGTTGAGAACTCTATCCCCTCCCCCAGTCCTTGCCGGACTGCTTCAGCTTGGATTAGTTTTATATATGGGGGTTCTGGTACAGAAGTTCAAAGCTTTACACTATGTGAAATCTGACAGGCAGTAACCCCACTTCCTCATTTGGCCTCCAGGGCCCTTTGTTGGGCTGTCTCATCCCCTGCTGCCCCCACCTTCCACCCCCTGCCTTGGTGGCTTTTTTTTTTTTTTTCTGAGACAGAGTCTCACTCTAGCCCAGACTAGAGTGCCGTGGTGTCAGCCTAGCTCACAGCAACCTCAAACTCCTGGACTCAAGTGATCTTCCTGCCTCAGCCTCCCGAGTAGCTGGGACTACAGGCATGCGCCACCATGCCTGGCTAATTTTTTCTATATATATGTGCTTAGTTGGCCAATTAATTTCTTTCTACTTTTAGTAAAGGTGGAGTCTCAGTCTTGTTCAGGCTGGTCTGGAACTCCTGAGCTCAAACGATCCTCCCACCTCGGCCTCCCAGAGTGCTGGGATTACAGGCATGAGCCACCACGCCTGGCCCTCTTGGTGGCTTTTGCTTGGCCAGGCCCCTGCCAGGCTGCTCTGCTCTCTCTGCTTCTCTGTCTTTTCATTCTGCACAAACTCTTCACTCAGAAGCCTTCCCTGCCTGCCCCAGCCCCTGTAGTTTTGCCCTTCTTTTAGACTTATTTTGTTACAGCAAGTGTCACAGTGGATGGTTCTGAGGACAAACTGAGTGGCACACGCAGAGTTGGAGGAGAATCAAAGTTTATTCCCCGGCGGGCTCAGAGGGGTCTCACCACCAAATTCTGAGCTCCTACTACCCGATTTTTCTCACTTTTATTAAGTTGGGGTGGTCCTAGAGGTGGGGTCTCCGGTGGCTAATGCCGGAAGCCAGGTAATAAGTTTAGTGTTATGCTGATGTGGGTCTTCCCTGAGGGGTGGGGTCTCAGGTGGCTTATGCGCCAAGTAATAGATGGGGGTTTTCCTTATCAATTTGATATAGATGCTTGGGTTGCTTAGACACTGCCTGTGTTACTAGATACTGGTTTTTATGGGTCGTTGTGAAGTCGCTGGGCTCAGGCTGTGCTTTCTCCTTGCTCTTATCTGCCCAGCATCTGCCGAGAGGTGGCCCAGGCAGCTGGACCCGGCATGTTCAGCAGGGGGCGATGCTCACTCACAGATGACCACGTGGGGCCCGCGGCAGGGGCTGGGCTGGGAAGTGTTTCACTTTTTTTTACTTTCCACAGACTTCCACCCAGAAAGTCAGCCCCCTCACCCCACCCCCAGGCTGGGATAAGTGGTGAGGCTGCCAGCCAGGGATGCCAGCCAGGCCAGGGTGGGAAGGGAGGAGAGTCTCGTGGCTGCTCTGAGACTGGGCGCTGCGCTTTTGGAGCAGTACTGCCCAGAACCACTGGGGAAGCCAGCCAGCTAGAGCCATGGGGGGGCCCTGAAAAGAGTTGCAGCACTGAGAACTTTGCCACCACCCCCTGGGGAGAGGGAGCCACACAGTTTCCTTTTCCCATAGCCCCAGAGCAAGTGAGTTTCTGGACTGGGGTGGGTGGGGGCAGGGAGTCCTATCCCAGGAAACAGATGGGCAGCCTCAGAGCGGAGGGAAATGGCAACCCCGCCACTTCCTCCCAGCCCACGCAGCCAGTGTTTATGGGAGTGTAAGGAAGGGGTTGCCTGGAGCAGGGAGGCCTCCAGCCCACCCCAGGCCTCTTAGCCTGGGCCCCCTGAGGGGACAGACTGTGTCTGGAACAGGACTTGGCTCTCCCTTCCTGGCTGGAGTGAGGCAGCCAGAGGGCACTGAACTCAGAGGAAGGGCTCCCCTGACTCAGCCACTTGGAGCCTGCCTTTCTCATTTTAAACTAGGGATGATTCTGCCAACAACTAGGCTCAGAGTTTGGCATGCTGAAGCACCCAACAGCGTGTGTTTCCTGGCCTTCACTCACGCCTTTCCCCATGTTTCATGTCCTTTGGGCCAGCCATGTGGTTTGGGGCAACCCCATGTGGGGGCCCTTTCATCCTGCGAGTGGATGCTTACGTAGCCTGGCTTTGCTTGATGGGGTCCTGTGTGCTGTTGGTAAGCAAAGGTGATCCCTGGATTGCCTGGTGTTATCCCCAGGTGGTGGTCTTTCCCCTGAGCACTCTCCTTCACCCCCTGATGGTGCTCGTCTCCCTGTCCCCCCAACCCCGTCACTGTTACCCGCAGCAGCAGTCTTGTCCTGTGGAGCAGTCACTTTCAGCTCTTTGCTGGCTGAGTCCTGGTTCAAATGCTTGAGGCTTTCCCGAGCTCCTTTAGGTGGACCAGATCTGGGTTGTGGGCTGCAGGGAGCTGGAGCATTCCGCAGATCTGCCTCAACACTGCTCCTGATTCACCAGGACGTCCAGACATCCTGGGAGAGCTGCTGACCAGGAGGCAGCCAGACCAGGGAGACCGTGCAGGGTGGTGGGGAGAGGTGGATTTAGCCACAAGCTTCACACACCAGCCGCTGGGGAGTGTAGCCATTGGCAAAGAAGTTCTAGAGCCTGTATGTGTGGTGGGGAGCACAGGAGGAAGGCAGCCATCCTCAAGAGAGGCAGCTGAGGATAGAGAATTGCTGAGGCTGGATTCTGGGTAAGTCAGTTCTCTGTGGCCTCAGTTTTCTTATCTGTGCAGTGAAGGAGGGGCAGGTACTCTAGTGATCCATTTCCAGCGCCTCTTCTGACACTGGTGTTAGAAGATTCTAGATGTGAGGGCAAAAGGACTAGGACCCAAAGGCAATTTGAGAGGAGAGGTGGTCCTGGAGCCCAAGAGCTTCATGGTGTTTGCAGCTGTCATGTAATCGAGCAGCAGTTAGGTCTGGGTTGTCAGCCAGTGAGTTTCTTTCCTTGCATTAGCAGAAAAATGATTTCACTCCACCCTTCTACGTTCCTTGGCTGGGCCGTGAATTCAGTTGACATATAAACAGATCAACAGGAGAAAAACCTTATTCGATTATGTACCTAACGTACGAGAGTCCCACAAAATATGAGACTCCAGGAGGGGTCAAATGTTTGGAGTCTATATAGCATCCTGAGCTACAGAAAGGAATAGGGGCTTGGGAGTTCTGGGGGTGGTGGCCATACAAGCTATGGGAGGGTGAGGGGAGGAAATGTGTGGTGAATGATGGTTGTCCTGTTATATAAAGTTATTGGGTAATAAAAACTGTGTAGGGGAGGGATGCGGTGGCTCACGCCTGTAATCCTAGCACTCTGGGAGGCCGAGGCAGGTGGATTGCTCAAGGTCAGGAATTCGAAACCAGCCTGAGCAACAGCAAGACCCCGTCTCTACCAAAAATAGAAAGAAATTAATTGACTAACTAAAAATATATATACAAAAAATTAGCCAGGCATGGTGGCGCATGCCTGTAGTCCCAGCTACTCACGAGGTGAGGCAGTAGGATCGCTTGAGCCCAGGAGTTTGAGGTTGCTGTGAGCTAGCCCGGGCAACAGAGCGAGACTCTGTCTCAAAAAAAAAAAAAAAAAGGCTGTGCGGGGGAGGGGGTGTCAATGGGTTCATCTTCTTTGGTTGATAAGATTCTCAGGTAGGGATTCATGACAATTGTGATCTTTAGGCAGATAAGGGAAGTTCAGAAAAAGCCCTCCCTGCATCTACTATTCCCCACTTGCCCTCAGTTTGAAATAACCAGCACACCAAAGTGGCATATTTTGGGGTGGCATTGCCTGAACTCCTCACCCATACCCTTAAAACTTGGGAAGAGAAGACATACCATTCTAGCTTTTGCCAAGGCCTGTGTCAGTGTGACTGAGAGCTGGAAGGGCATTTGTAGAGGTAGAGAAAAACTCCCCCTCAGGGGGTTGGTTGGCATTGGGATAAGAGAAGGAATAGTTTCTAGAATGTGTGTCAGGACATCCAGGGTTGTCAAGGACGAGGGAAAGAGGGCCCTGCTCATATGCTGTATGAAATAAATTCTGATTTTCTGCAGTTTGACAATATTGAGAGAAATTAAAAATGTTCATAGCCCTTGATTTACCCATAGGATTAAATCCTGTAGGGTGTATTTACAAAAGTTCACTGTATGTACAAGGATATTCATTGTGGCATTGTTTATAATTTCAAAGCAAAAGCGGAAACAAACAAAATATCCAACAATAGAGTTTACTTATTAGACAGCCTCTCAACAGATTAGGGGACAGTAGTGCAGAAGAATGGGTGGAGCTCTCTGTGCTGCTGTGGCACTATCCTCAAGATATAAATGAAATAAACAAGGTGTAGGAGCTAGCAAACTGTGCTCCTCAGGCCAAGCTGCCCCGTTGCCTATTTTTGTATAACCTGCAGCAAAGAATAGTTTTACATAGTTAAACGAAGTCAAAAGAAAAATACTATTTTGTAACACATAAAAGTGATGTGATATTCAGATTTCAGCGTCCATAACATTTTATTGGAACACAGCCACCCCATTCATTTATGTGTTGCTTGTGGCTGCA